TTTAATGTTAACAATCCGCAACCCATTTGACTAACATGAAATAAAAATGGGTATTAACATAAAACCAATTTCTTCCTTTTAACCCCCATTTGATTTGACAAAGTGAGAGCTTTGTTGGTGATGGTGGGGATGATGGGATGACAAAAAACAGAGTACCCAAATTTGTAGGGAAAATATAAGTTTATTACTGATTCTATTCACAGATAAATTCAGCACTGACAATTGGAAAAGAAATTTTAAATCACAATAAGGAAAAGGAAAAGAAATTTGTACAAAAAAATTAATTCGTCCAATAGACTTGTAACATTAAATAATTAAATCATACTTGAAAAATTATTGAATATTCTTCGAATGCCATAAAAGTATAGACATATGGTACTTCTGATCAATGAGATTGCAAAAATAAAAAATGAATGAGAATGACTTTATCTCTATCAAATTGACCAAAGTAGGTCAAGTCAATTTTGACAATTGATTTTCTTGTACAAAAAGCCTAAGTTCAGGTTTGATTTGTTTTTGTATAATTTATTTTTTTAATTTTGGCCCATAATTTATTTGTTTAAGGTTTCAATCTTGTTCTTTGAATTTTTTTTTTAATGCATTATCTTGGCTAAATACTGATTTCTCATATATTAGGGGAAATTAATAATGTCCACTCTTAAAAGGATGCACATCATATTAATAAAGTTTGTTTATTTGCCAAAAAAAAAAGGATGCACATCATAAGATAGTTATGAATTTTTATGATGAAAATTACCAATGTTTGGTTATAAAATCAACAAAACCCATAAAAGTACACCCAAAATCCTACATGCATCTAGAAAATTAAAGAGAAATAATACTCACAATTTGATTTTGGGAATCGTTCTTTCTTTATTCCATTAATGATCAATTGATGGTCTCTATGGCTTCAAAGAAAGAAAAAAAAAATTGTAATCAATATATATACACACAATAATCTATTAAGAAAGAGATGAGAGTATTACCTTTACTTTGCAAAACAGAGCACTGTAGACACCCCATTTTTGACCGTCCTCAAGACTTGGACGTCACCGTTTGAACACTCGGTGATTATCCATGTTTGTGTTCGTTTGGAGTTCCCGGAGGTCTCGGCTCACGCGCCTTGCTCAAGATCTCTCGACTCGACTGTTTTGTGTC